GAGCGATTCTGCGAGCGCCGCCGCCTCAAATCCGTGGATTTTGAGCTTTAAATACGCAAAACTTCGATGCGACAAAATGTTTTCACTGATATTCGATGTGTCAAACTTATTGGAAGGTACACATGTGAAAGTGCGGTCGAATGATGTGTTACAGCATTGAAAAGGCAAATTTTACTTACTTTTGCTTTAGTGATTTCAAAATTATTTTGGACGTGGTTGTTTCGGTAAAAACACATATCTTGCCACACGACTAGGTTTGTATTCACTTCTGTTATTCCTTTTTATTCACATGTTCGCGTTAGTGAAAAGGAAATGAGAATGAATTAAACGGTGTTTTCGTCATGTCCGGAAAACCTAAGAATGTTTGGTCATTCTGTAAGCCACGTGGTTCTTAGCTACGCTGATGTATTGCCATAAAATGAGCAAAAAATCTTGGGAGGAAATCGAGCATGTACGCAGGATATAAATGAAATTGTTGTGGCATACATAGAGGCCACAATGTCTGTGGGGGGGCAAAAATGGCGACATACATAGTGGCCGCGCTGTCATCGTGGTGCTAAACTCCATCCCTGTGCATTGAATGTGGCCACCTCGCACCTCCAGAATTGTTTCATCAGCAATATTTGATAAATTCTGGAAAGCATCTTCGCCGTTTCAGCCCTGCTCTAGCTTTAGAGGAGCTCGATTGAATTGCGTAGATGTCGCCCAGTCTTTGAGAACGTTTTTCCCAGAAAACTACGAAACATTGGCAAAACACTTGTTTGATTTGCTCTCTTCGGAGAGAACGAATGAGGAACTCCAAGGAGAGGTGAGTTTTTTAGCCTGCTGTTCAATTTTTTTCATAGTTTGGTGTTCATTTCAGTAGTAGCGGCCACTGGCGTTACATATTTTTGTGAAAGAAGTAAATGTGGTCTTTTTCAAAATTCATTTTGCAGTTGATCGACCTTGTTGGTTTCGATCACTTTGAAATGGTAGGAGGGATATTGGAGTCACGGTCACAACTCATCAATGAACTGAATGCTTCGCGACACGAGGCGACCAAGCTGTCGAGTTATGCCCCTGAAAAGGTCTGTTTTCATATTTTGCAGTTTTTTCATTCTTTGTACTCCTTTCACCTTTCACTCTTTTCTTTGGTGTAGGCCTGCAGGCTTTTGAAAGCATGATAGTCGCAAGGGCTAAGATCAGGGCGAATATGGGGGGGGGGGTAGCCAGGTGATGCCAAGTCTTTCCAGCTTTTCCGTCGTCGTCCTCGCGTGGTGTGGTCGAGCATTGTCCATCACAATGACAAACTTCCCTTGTAGTCGGTGTGAACTGGGGGCTCGGGACACCATCTCTCGCAGTTGCTCACAGAATACTCTTGCCGTCACCGCAGTACCCTCGGGTAGGATCTCGTAGTATATGCAGCCGGTCGAGCAAAAGAAGAAGGATATCATCTCCTTTTTGGCGTGGGCGCCTCGCTTCGGAACGGGTTGGGGCTTCACGTCCACTGGTAGCCATTGCAATTTCCTGTGTGGATTTTCATAGATATCCACTTTTCATCCTGAGCGATAATGAAGTCCGTCCACGTCGTCGTTCGCTTACGGTTGAGAAGTTTCTGGCACACATCGACTCGCACTCGACGCTCGTGTTCAGTAAGGGAGTGGGGATAACTCCAGGGAGCGCTGCACGAACGCGACTTCGGCGCAGAATCCCGTGGATGGTGGAACGGGGAGTAGCAGTCGCCCTTTCCATTTCCCTCAGACTTTGAGAATTGCTTCGAGCGGAAGCTAGAACCGTGTCGGTCTCAGATGAACGTGGGCGTCTTCTTGTCGAGGCAAACCTCCCCTCTAGAGAAGCGGGCGTACCATCTATAGCAGTTGGTAAGGGAGGGCGCACTGCTGCCCATCGAGGACCATAACTCATTCCGGGCCTGAGTGGCGGATTGGTAGTAATGAAGCAGAAGGCGTCGGCAGTCGTGTCCGTCGGACATAGTTCAGTTGATGATACTTCCAACGATGAAGCCCAATACTGTTCTGTTTTGGTCACGATCTACCAAGGGTGCCCTTTTCCCTGCCCTTTGTTCCGTGGCTCTGCTTTGGCGCATTCTTGCGCAACATGGTTGCGAAATTTAAGACCAAAATTTTTTCAAAACTTTTCGGACACCCTAATAACTTCTCCAGTCAATAAGCTCGCATTAGTTAATGGCACGCGCCAAGACCAGGTTGGTTTGGTATTGCGCTCAGTAATGAAGGTGATTGAACTGGTGTTGAAAGAAAAGGAAAAGAAACGTCGAAAATGCTGAAAATGAAGGTCTCTTCTTTCTAAGCTGAGGCATTTCCAATGGGGCAGGTCGTTCACGGCGTGCCGCGAACAAAACGTTTTTTTTTGCATGATGTAGTGAGGGGCATGAAACACAGAACTGTAGCCTATGTCCGCTAACTAGGTCCTCGAATGGCAAAAGAAGGGGTGAAGAAATGGTCCGTGGTTCGATTCGTCGCGCTGACAAACTTTTGCATTTCGACCTGACGCTACAAAATTGGATACCATATGCCTAGTGCCAAGAATAGATGTTTATTTTCGATTACGGCTACAAAAAGCTTTCACATTTAGGCGGCTGTCGACAAGCGATGGGAAAAGTTGTGATTTCAAAACAGCGATTAAATTGAGATTTTATCCACTAAAAAGGCTGCACTGGCTAAGGACTAAGCCATGTACCACTTTTTAGTGGATAGCGCGCTCGACGGCAAAGGACTTGAAAAGAACCTCCACGTCATTCTCTTCGAGAATGGAGAAGTGCCACCTTAGAATGGGCAGTAGCAGAATTTGATGTTTAATTTCCGTGAAAGTGACAGGTCAATTCATTAGTCCCTCTACTGACAATTCTTCTTGACAGTAGAAGGTCAAATAGCTGGATCGGTCTCAACAGGCGCGGCTTGAAGTGCTTCTGGGCTTACAGGACAAATTTCGGTTTGTGTCAGTAATCTGGACACACTGCTAAATTCTTCGCCGAGCTTGTCTTTGGGCCGACTGAGGAGTGTATTTCCTGAAGTTAGGTCAAAATGCTGTTTTGCCTGAATCTCGGCTATCCCACCATATATAATCTGCTAAGCGGTTGTGTGTGTGTGTGTGTGTCTGTCTGACCGGAAATTCGTAGCTCGAGTCACAGCAATGATAGCGCCATGGTTCTTACATATGTTATAGGGGGTGGGATGGGGACACAAGTGGTATGTGATAGGAACTGATAACGACTGATAATAGCTGATAAGAGGGGCTAGAAAGCGAGCATCGCCAATTTCGTTTTGTCGTTCATATTGGTACTAGAGCGTCTATACTTACAAGTGTTATGTGGGGTGGTCCCGGGACATTGGTGGTACATGAATGAAAGCGATAGCAACTGATAAGGGCTGATGCGTCAGAACGCAAAAGTCGTCGATTCCGTTACCTGGCTCGCGTTGACACCAGAGCAACCATACTTACAAGTGTTATGTGGGGTGGGACGGGACATTGTTGGTGGGTGATTGAAAGTGATAACAACTGATAAGGGCTGATAAGGCGCGTCAGAACGCAAAAGTCGTCGATTCCGTTACCCAGCTCGCGTTGACACCAGAGCAACCATACTTACAAGTGTTATGTGGGGTGGGACGGGGACATTGTTGGTGGGTGATGGAAAGTGGTTACAACTGATAAGGGCTGATAAGGCGCGTCAGAACGCAAAAGTCGTCGATTCCGTTACCCAGCTCGCGTTGACACCAGAGCGTCCATACTTACAAGTGTTATGTGGGGTGGGACGGGGACATTGTTGGTAGGTGATGGAAAGTGGTCTGGTTTGTAGTGGTACGTGCACATTGTATCATTGTATGTAGCTTACTTGATAGCAGTCGATTGCATAAACTCAATCAAGTCTTCAGCAAATGATAACTTTCATTTCTATCAAGAAAGCCCAAACTCATTAAACCGCTAATCCTTTCGGGGTTCTAAATAATGGTGAATGTAAATAAATGATAAGCCTTAGCTCCTCACTTATGTAAATAGGCATATTTCATTTTAATTTTGAGACTGACAGCAATCCTATTCACCGCTAAATTATCTCATTCGAGAAGAATGCTTGATGTTCACAGTTGTTAGGCTGCGTTCATAGTTCGCGATTCCGGAGAGTAGGATAGGGCGCGACAATGAAAAAGATATGTATTGACGGGGAGATTAGGATAGTAGATAGGATAGTAGAGTAGGATAGTGCGCTGACAAGATTAGATACGTATCGATTGAAATCGCCGGAGAGTAGGATATTACGATATTACGATAGTAGGATAGTAGTAGAGTACGCGAATTAGGATAGTAGGCTATTCCGCTGAACATATCAGATACATATTGACTGAAATCGCTGGCGAGTAGGATATTAAGCGACCAGTGTTGATTTATAAAAGTTGGCATTGTTTCCGAATTTTGGGCTAAACTAGCTTGTTTTCTTGACTCAACGTGTCTTCATGATTTTTGTCTCTCCTAAATGATTAAACTAACATTTTGTTTCCTTGTGAACATTTACATAAATCATTAATTACCTAGAGCTCAATTTGCACCGGCGCTCATGTCCTTGGGGGGGGACATCCCAGTGAGTGAGCCAATTACTGTACTTGGGACTGAGCCTTAGGCAGAGGAAGGGATTTTGGTGCTAACTTAGTTGGGGGGGGGCACGCGGCGGCGCGGCAGTCTGCTCGCCTGGCATGTTCGGAAATCCGTGGGCCAGGGGGAGTGTAGCCAGTCTAGGGGGGTGGGGGTGGGGCAGTCACTTGACATGCGTGAAAAGCTGGAATGTTCGAGTTTACACTGTCTCGCTCGAGAGAGCCCAGGTGAGCAGACTGCCGCGCCGCCGCGTGGCCCCCCCCAACTAAGTTAGCACCGGGATTTTATGGGAAGATGCAAGCAACACCTTCCTTGTTCTTGAGTTGGATGAAGAAATTGAAAAATCAATACCTACACGTTAAAATAGCTGTAAGTCATCAACACCCATTTAAGACACGTGGCTACGGATCAGAAGGAGTCTGTTGGATTTCACAGGAAATTCAATTGTGACTTAATCTAGAAAAGAACTCAAGAAAAGAAAGTAAAAGAAAAGAAAAGTAGGCAGGAAAAGAAAACAGGCATAATAGGAGTATTGATTTTCTATTTGTGGTCGCTTACTATCCTACTATCCTAATCTCGTACTCTACTAATATCCTACTATCCTAATATCCTGATCAATATGTATCTAATCTGTTCAGCGGAATCTACTACTATCCTACTATCGTAATATCGTAATATCCTACTCTCCGGCGATTTCAGTCGATACGTATCTAATCTTGTCAGCGCAATCTACTACTATCCTACTCTCCTACTCTCCTATCGCCAGTCGCTCAGTATCCTACTATCCTACTCTCCGACTATCCTACTATCCTAATCTCCAGTGTCGCGAACTATGAACGCGGCCTAAGATAAACATGCCAGTTCAGCTCCAGACGTTATCACGCGTATTCTCGATGGACTTCAGCGAAACTGGGAAAGGTCTAACACATTCAATAGTGAGGTGGTTAATGGAGTACCTCATGCTGATATTCCATGGGTCCTCCAGTTTCGCTAAAGCCTGCCGTGTGATGCGCGCGATAGCGGGCGGAGCAAAACTGGTAAGGATAAATCAGTCTTCCGTGAATGTGATATCTGTTTTTGGGGCTGGGCTCTATCTCGAGAAGGTATGCCTATTCTCGCACTAGTGTAATTTCGAGTAAACTTGGAGGTGTCAACACAGTGCCAAACGTCGGTTATACCGAGTCGTCAACCCTTTCTAGCTTCGCCAACTGAAGTCCACAATGCTAACCGCTACACCATCGAATGCTGCTGACATCTCATCGGCTAACAATCTTAAACTTCCCACGCTCTTCAGTGCATAAAATGGCAACATTACGAAGCACTCCATTTTTGGGCAAACTTCACGGTGTTATCGCTAGGAAAACAAAGTTTCGAGGGGTATTTATTCGCCCTTGCCTCCAGGGTGTAAATACAGAAATCTAGAGCTATTAGGTGGAAGGTTCCATTGTAACAATTCTTCGAAAGCAAC